TGTCGTGGGCGTAGGTGTCGCTGCCAAGTGCCATTTGGTACCCACAGTCATTGTCTTAAGAGGTGTTGGCAAACCAAGTTGCGGGTGAGTGGGTGGGATGTTTGCGCGAGCAGTGGAGTGGACAACTCACTGCGAACAGAAATTGATTCTCCTTTCTCAAAGACTAATAGATTCGACCCCCCCCCCGGACTTATCGGCCCCCCCGCGCGTGCTGCAAATTACATATGATTCTGACCACATGTCCATCCTAAATATGAATTCATACCATCCCAGCCAAGCCGGGTTCCCCCCCCTGCGGTTCCCTTGTAAAAAACACTATGCGGTGACATGTTTTGTTCTAACATATCACTGTTTCACGAATCCCTTGCAAAAATGGACGAAGTGCACACGCGCGCGTCGTGGCGCGCGCATGCCGAAATCCTTTAAAAACCTTCGGTTCCGGAGAGATTTCAAAATTGAATTTCCAAAAAACATATAAAAACACATGGTTTCGCAACACGGATTCAAAAAAAAACGTACGCGCGAGCTCTTGCGAAATCTTAAGAAAACCATGGGTTTTCCAAGATTTTTACAAAATGCTACCAAACGGGCTTCGAGCGCGCGCATGTCGAAATCAGTCGAACGCTCTTGCGCGTGTGCCGTCGCGAGAATCCTCTGCAACAAATGGGACGAAGTGCAGACGCGCGCGTCGTCGCGGGCGTATGCCGAAATCCTTCAAAAACCTTCGGTTTCGGAAGAATGTCGAAATCGTGCGTCCAAAAAACCTACAAAAACACAAGGTTTCGCAACACGGGTTTTCAACAAAATTGTGCGCGCGCGCTCTTGCGTCGTCGTCGTCGTCGTCGTCCTCCCTCCTCCCTCGTCGTCGTCGTCGTCGTCGCCGTCGTCGTCTTCTGTCTTTCCTCGTCGTCTTTGGCGTCGTCGTCGTTTCCGTCGTCGTTGTCGCCGGGGTCGTCCTTCCTCCCTCGTTGTCTTCGTCGGCGTCTCGTCGTTGTCCCTCCTATTTCGTCGCCGTCGTCGTCGTCGTCGTCGTCGTGGTCTTCACTCCTCCCTCGTCGTTATCCTCCTCCCTCGTCGTCGTCGTCCGTCGTCGGCGTCTCGTCGTCGTCCCTCCTATTTCGTCGCCGTCGTCGTCGTCTTCGTCGTCGTTGTCATCGTCGTCGTCTTCCCTCCTTCCTCGTCGTTGTCGTCGTCGGCGTTTCCGTCCTTCCTCCTTCTTCGTCGTTGGCGTCGTCGCCGTCTTCCCTCCTCCATCGTCGTTGTCGTCGTTGTCGCCGTCGTCGTTTTTTCTCCTCCCTCGTCGTCGTCTCCGTTGGCGACGTCGTCGTCGTCTTCGTCGTCGTCGTCGGCGTCGTTGTCGTCGTCGTCGGTGTCGTCGTCGTCGTTGTCGTCGTCGAAAACATTGGAGACGTCGTCGGTGTCGTCGCAGTCGCTGTCGGCGGCGCCGTCGTCGTCGATGTCGCTGTCGTCGTCGGCATCGGTGTCGTGGCCAAGTGCCACGCAGTACCTACCGTCACGGTCTTGTCTGAAGATGTCTTGCGACCAAGTTGCGGGTGGGAGGGTGGGATGTTTGCACGAGCAGTGGAGAGGACAGCTTCAAGACAGTCGAAGTGGATTGCACCACGTAGATTGCACCGCATAGACTGCAATAATATTGTATTCGGGGCCCAGGCTGGCTAACACTTACTAGAGGCATCCTCACACGAGATTCCTCACTAGACCCTTACTGCGGGTTCCTTGATGCAGGCATCCTGACCAATGAAACTGTGCAACAGGAATCCACTCCCAGGACCCTTCACGAAAAACATTGCTCAGCATGAACCCACTTTTACAGACAGCCTTAATAAGGATCTCCAGCAGTGACCCAGCGGAGGCAATCGCATGGGGCCCATAGGGGCTTCCTTGGCTTATCAGGAGTGTAGCTGTGGCAAGAGAAGTCCCTAACAATGCAACATCAACTATGTTCCTCAACATTCCAAGCCCCGCGCCTGTTTGCATGGGGCGGGATTTCCAGAGGCTTTGCTTAGGGAGTAGGTTGTCTGTCAATTGGCTGTCCTCCAAGATACCCGCAGACCGACGAGATACCCTCACAGGAGCGGATGAGCAACAAACAAATGCCCCCCCCTCTAGCATGGTTCTTGAAGTTCCAGCCACATTGCAAAATGGCGTGGGGTTGGACGTTCGAGGACAATCCTCGGGAGGGAGGACACTTTGTTGTTCACTCTTACGACTCTCTGCGGGTATCCTGGCGGACTGACGGCATCTTGGAGAAAGCCAAGCGACCAGAAAACATGCTTCCTCGAGCATGGTCCTCGAACTTCCAACCCCACGCCTGTTGATAATGGGTTAGAAATATGTGACGCGTTTTTCCTGTCGGTTGGCTGGTCTCCAAAATACCGTCAAACTTTCAAGGTACTCTCCCAGATACCCTTATCCGTGCCACGATGCTGTAGGGAGAAGGGCAGTGATGATGAGGATGATAAGAATGAGAAGGAGGAAGAAGAGGAGAAGGAAAATGAGGAGCGAATGGGCCCAAGTCTCGCGTGGCAGAGCTCGAACTCCAAAATGGCCTGGCCGGGCGTCTATCCTTGACAGGGGTGCCTCCCAGAGTTCGACGGCCAGCGGCTGTGGGGAGTCGATCGGGGACGAGCGATCGACTGCGCGGCAAGGCTCGGGGGTTGGAGGCAGGATTCGTCAGCCTCGAATCGGGAAGTCGGATCGAACCGGAGCGTGCGTCGGATCGGGCAGCGTCGGGACGGAGCTCGAGTCGAACCGAATCGGCCGCGGCAGGATGCACTACGATGCCATGCAAGCATCGGGCCGCATCGGATCGCCGGAACATCGGGAACGGATCGGACCAAACCATCGTAAATCGATGCCGAATCGGATCGACAGGATCGATGTGGGCACTGTAAAGGTGGCCCGTGGAGTTCCTGGCCCAAGGTATCCCTCACTGTTCGCCAACGTTTGATGCCCGCAGGGCCCTCTTGGCCCCAAGGTCGCTCCAAGGCGCCCCTTGCGAATGGTGCTCTGGAAATCCAAGACCTTGTGGAGCGGTCTTGGCGCCATCTGGGCCACAAAATCGCCCTCGGAAATCCTGGGAGCATCTTGGGCCAGGAGAGGGGAATACTATGTTTCAGGACGAGGACGACGTTATCAGAAGAATGGCCATGGATGCGTTCGAGGAGATCGGGAGTATTTGCAGCCTCGCCTCTGGAGCCGGCTCGGATCGGCAAGAACACATACAACCCTTGGAATGCACCACGATCATGAATTATTGCTGCTCTGGGGCTTGGCGACACCGGTCCCATGCTCAGTGGGACTTTCGACGGGCGGAATCGTCCGACCTGCCCTGTGGGCGTAAGTGGCGTAGCGAGCTAGTTCTTCCACCCTTTCTCTCCTTCTGGGAGAACTGCACCTCTCCCCCTGACCCCTCCCTGGGTCTGGAAGGGCCAGGACGAGGGTCGCTGGAGCAATTGGACCAACCCAGTGTGGCCCCACGGGTGGCATCCAAGATCGCCGAAGATGGCCCAAGATGGTTCACGATAGCTTCACGCATGCGTCCAAGAGCCCCCAAGATCGCCCCGAGGCGCTTACGAATGACCACGGGGTCTCCCAAGGACGCCCCAAGACGGTGCCAAGTGGCCGACGAACCTCCCCAAGGATGCCCCCGAGAGGCAACCATACTCACAAGAAGTACGGAAAACCAGTGATGTTTGAAGTAACGCCTTTTCGCTTCCGATCAGCGTTGGAGGCCTCAAAATTGGATCAAGATCGCCCAAGAGAGCCCCAAGAGGGGCCCAGGAGGACGCCAATATGGGCCTAAGAGCACCCTAGAATGCCCCAAGGGCGCCCCAAAAGGTATCTGCTTGGGCCACAGGGGAGCCGAAATAAGTCCCACCAACCCCTCGTTGACTGCTGCATTCCGAGGTAGCTTCAAAGAGTGCCCCCACGGCCCCTCAAGAGAGCCCAAAGCGAGCCTCATGAGGACTCGAAGACGGCCCCAAGAGAGCCCCCAAGGCCTCCAAAATGTCCAACGTGAACTGCCAACGGGCTTCCAGATCGAAGAACTTACAAAGGCATCTACGGTTGCTGATCAAGCTGAAATTGATCTTTAGCTTGACGAATGCCTCCGCCTCGTTGTTTCACTTCGTGCTCCCACACTTCCCTGATCAATGCAACTCGCCTGGGCAGTGTTGCTGGCGGGGACACGCGACGCGTCAAGCTCGCTGGGCCTCGACAATAGTGAGTCCAGATAGCCGTCCTGGTTGCACACGTGTATCCCTAAGCTCCCACTCTTGCCTTCTGAACGACCGTAGCGACATGATCATAAAGTTTCGCGCAGATTTCTTGGGCCGGTGCTTGAGGCGCCGCCAGGGGGCCTCGGAGCAGATCCAAGAAATCAGCGCGGGCTGCCGAAAGTGTATGTTTGTGCAGTTCTGTGGTCTTCGAATCTTAAGGGGAAACTCGAGGATTTGCGGACGAGCAGTCGCCTGAGAGAAGAAGGAGATAGTTGGGATTCAGTCGCTCTCGGCCATCTTCCGCGGTGATTGATGGGAGCCTCCCATACCATCTTGCTGGCTCTTGCAAATCGACGTTCATCCACACTAAATCGACGCTGAATCGACGCTAATCGACGCCAATAGACGCCAAGTCGTCGCCATCTCGTCGATTGCCAGACATCGACGCTAGCGCCCGCGAATAAAAACTGAACACTGAAGGTTCACGAGGCTCCCACGATTTGCTACCAACGCCATCGCCGCCGCGAGCGTCGCCGGGGCTTCGTGCAAGGGGGAACGAACAATGCCATAAACACAAAAACTCTGAGGTCCGCTCGGATTTCTCGGGTCCGCGATGGACCCCCCTGGCGCCGGAGGCGCCGCCAGGGGGCTGCAGCGTCGATCCGAGGAATCCGCGCGGACCTCCGAGCTTTGTGCTCGTGTCGCTGCCCGTTCCCCCAACCGGAGTCATCGCCGTCGCGAGCGCCGCCGGGGCTCCGCTCACCTGAGGCGGTGGAAAAAGTTCTGGAGCTTCTGCAGCGCCCCCTGCGGTTAGGTCGGGCATGTCCCCCTGCAGGCGGATCTTGGACGAAAAAATAACAAATCGTCAAAACATGCTCCAAAATACAGCAAACTAATACAAACAAGCGGTCCCCAGACATAATATTCCTGACTATTTGTTGCATACTCCTCCTGTATGTCTGACTAGTTCTGACTATGTCTGATTATTTGTGGACTACTTTCTAATTATTTCTGGCTAATTTTTGAATGTTGAATAACCATCGCTGACTATGTTTGGATATTCCTCCTGTACAGAAGGACATGCCCGACTTTACCCCTGCGGCTGCGCGCCCGCCTGCTTCTGCTCATCGCGCGGCGGCTTCGGCGCCTCGGACGCCCCGCTGGGCCTGGGAGACGCGGCCTCCGCCACCGTGCTCTTCGCCGCTGCAGGGGGCCTTTCCTCGAGGACCTTCTCGCCGACCTCTCCGCCGCGAGCCAGGGGTGGGAAAGAGAAGGAGGAGGCCCTCTCGGGAGGCGGCGAGGCTTCTTCAAGCCTGCTTTTGGTCCGCAAGTTTACTTGCATGGACGGGGGGGGGGGGGGGGGGGGGCTGAGCCTGAAGCAAGCCGAAAACAACTTGAGGTGCGAAAATCGCAAGTCGAAAGGCACTTGCACGCTCGTAATCGATTGAAGAGGGGCGAGGGGGGGGGGGGGGGGGGGGGGGGGGGGGGGGCGAACGCCATGCAAGTAACCTTGCCTAGATGAAAAAAGCAGGCTCTCCGAAGCCCTCTCTGGCCTTCTGAACTGCTCTCTGCGTCTTCTGGGGGAGGCCCAGAACGCTGCTCGAACAGAAGCCCGGAGGACCTCAGAGCCTCCCGAGAGGGCCCAGCCCTTCTCGCTCCCCCCCGCCAGCTGGCCGCCGAACCTCCGCCTCGGCAGCCGCACCGCCCGTGGGGCCCTGGTCCCGGCACGCCGAGACCGCCGCGCCGAACAGCCAGCAGTACGCCTCCCCGCAGCTGCTCCCGAGGACGCTCGGCACGTCGCCGGAGAAGCCGTAGCAGCGGCCCCTGGCCGTCGAGCCGACGTTCCAGACGAGACTCCTCGCGGGCGGACCGAACATCCACAGCCGACGGCTCCGCGGCCCGGATCCCTCGGCTGCCACCCCTGGACAGGAGCAGCCCAGGACGAGGATCAAATCGAGTGCGGATGCATCCGAGATCTTGGAGATCTGCCGGCTCTGGAAAATGTCTCGGGCGCCACGGCCTTCTCAGAGCGTTCCGGAAGGCTTTGAGAGCGTTCCGGAATGATTTATCCTCGTCCTCTTCCTGGAACCGATTTGCCCTCGTCCTGGCCCCGTTCGGATGGATGCCGATGCGGGGAGGGGGGGCCTGCGCGGACGTGCCACGCGCGGAGCATCTCCATCGGATCGCGCCTCCACGGAGCGCACACGGTGCCCAGACCGTGAAGCTATGGATCTGGGTCAATTCGTCCCTCGTGGGTTCCGGAAGCCCATGTGCAGCGAGGTGTTCGCGCAGCTGACGTAGGAGCGCGCCTCTAGAAGAGATAACAGCATGAGCACAAATCAGAAAGAGGGGGCCGAACGGTCATTCAATGTCCCTGGATGCGTGGCTGTTGTTGTTGATGACTCCTTTCTGAAGCATAATTATTGCTGACCTCCGGAAGCGGTTCCGCGCGCTCTCGCCTCGACGCAGGCTACATTTTCTCTGAAAGCGAGGCCCCCGCTCGAGCGTTGGCTTGAGCCTAAACGTGGGCCCCCGGAGGCCCAGCTACGACAACAACGGCTCCCGCTCGGTATTTCCTCACAGTTTACCCCGAGACACCCTGGCCAGAAAGGCCCCCGAACTCAGGGACGGCGCTCTCGCTCGAGACTTTCCCGTAATTCAAGCAAGTTGGTGGAGGCCCGGACACGGCGACAAGGGCTCCCGTTCGATATTTCTCCATAAGTCTTCCGAGAGCCCCTGGCCAGAGAGGCCCTCGAACTCAGAAGCGGCGCTCTCGCTAGAGACTTCTTCGCACTTTACTCATTGGCCGACAAGGAAAAGATTCCCCCCCAAAGGGGGCCAATCGAAGACGCAGTGGGCGGGTATCGAGGGTTGGGGTATACGGGCTGCAAGACAGGCGTGCCAGTAAGAGCGAATAGTCTTACAATTATGATTGTGATTGTTGCTGCTGTCGCCGTCCAGTGCGAGCCTCCCGCGGACCGCTATGTTCAGGAATTTCTGGAATGTTTGGCATGTCTAGATTTTCGGCAGTTTCTGGAATGTTGGGATTTGTGTGGGGGATTTCTGGATGTCCTGGGGGATTTCCAAACTTTTGGGATGTCCAATTCTTTTGGGGGAATTGCTGGAGCGTGTGTGTTTGTTTTTGTATGCTATCATTATTTCCTTGGCTGTAGGTAGCAGTCAATGCAAAAGTTTCGAAAGTCCAGCAGTCCCCAAGAATCCCAGAAATTCAAAAACACCGAATTTGCAAGCATTCTAC